CCCCCCGCCCCAGCTCTTTGCAGGAGGGATGGCTGGGACACCCCCCACTCCTTGCGGGAGGGATCCCAGGGACTTTCCCCCCTCTCCAGCCCCTTGCAGGAGGGATGCCAAGGACACCTTTCCCCCAGCTCCTTGCAGGAGAGACCCCTGCGCACCCCCAAATCCTTGCGGAAGGGACCCCCTGACCCCCATCTCCTGGGAGGAGGGACCCTGGCACTTTGGGCTGAGGCTGGGGAAGGGGGGCTGGAGGATACTGCAAGGGACCCCTGCGTAACCTCTGCCACGGTGCTGAGGGGCCCCCACTTCTCTGCCAGCAGTGCAGCCCCCAGAGCTGCGGCGGCAAGGCCAGCGTGGACGGGCGGCGTGTCCCCAGCATCCCTGGCCGTGCTGCATGCCACCACGCACCGTGGAGCGTGATTCCGCGAGTTCGGCCCCCAGCCCCGGGGCGGGGGGAAGCTTGCAGCCCTGGAAATTTCCAGGGGGAGGCAGAAATCGGGGTGGCTCCGACCACGGTCACGCCAGGATGCGCGTGAGTAGCCGGGGGCGAGTGGGACGGCCCGGAGCATCCTCGCAGAGGCCGTAGCGTGTTGGGCGCTTTGTGCAGGCAGCGTGGAGGCAGCGCAGCTCCGGGGAGCGTGGAGACGGCACAGGCGAAGGCACGGCCATGGTGTGCTGCTGCCCCTCGCCCCGGCCAGCACTGGGGGGGGCCGGGAATCTGCGTAAGCGTGCTGTGTGGTCTTGCTTGGGTATGGCCAAGTGCTGGAGAAAGCGAAGGGGATGGAGGCAGCGAGCCCCGAAGCACAAGGCTGGGGGGCTGTTTGGGGTGCAGGCATGCCGTCCCATCATCCCTGGCAGTGCGAGGAGCCCCCCCTGTTCCCCACTTTTTCCCAGAGGGCTGTCGCCCCATCACGTGGACGTGGCAGCGAGATGTGTAGGTTGCTGCTAGCAGTCCCTTGGACTGCAGCAGAAGGGAGCCCGTGGGGAGGGGGGACCGTGCTTGGGGTCCCCAGGGGAAGAACCACAGCCGGAGTGGCCTCTCCTGGTGCCGGCAGGCAGCCGTGGGCAAGGGTGCTCCAGCCACGGTGCAGCTGGCGGTGCGGGGGAAAGCAGCGCGTGGTGGGAGCTTGGCTGGCGCTGCACAGACGAGGGAGCCGGGTGTGCGAAGCAGACGTGTTTGCTCTGACACCTGCAGCGTCTCGCTGCAGCGAAAGGAGCAGCGCCGGGGCTGCACGCCCTCCAGCGAGGCGGCGGGGTGGCCCCCGGGGGGCTTGGGAGCCGGGGGCTCTCCCAAGGAAAGGATGCTGTGCCAAGCCCTGCCACGCTGCCCTTGCGACTGCTGCTGTCCTCGTGATGTGACGATCCAGCTGTATAGGGTAAAGCAACGCGTGGAAGGGTTTTTGCTCTCTACAGGGGAGATGTTGCCCTTTGGGAGCTTCCCCAGGAGAAGCAGAGGGATGCCTGCATCCCTGAAAATCAGAGAGGAGGGGAGTAAGAGCGAGGAAGCGCCCTGCAGTTGGGGGATGGCTTGCATGGGTTGAGGCGGCAGGGCCACGCTGGCAAACGTGCCCCTTGCAGAGAAACTCTCAGTGTGAGGGGTCTCGGAGGCAGAAAGCACTGTGAGGTCTGCTCCCCCAGCCTGGCTCCCAGGGTGACAGCGGCGGTGGCGGCAGGCAGCGGTGAGCAGGGCTGGTGCGAGCAGCCCTGTTTCAGGGCCCCCGGCAGCGTGGGAGAGCAGGAAGGCGCTGCTTGCGACACGGACAGAGCAGACCACAGCAGAGAAGGTACAAATGAGTCATGGACCTGCAGCGCGGCGAGCGTGGCGCTCTGCGTGGCTGCTGCAGTGCCTGCAGGCACAGAAAAGACAAGCCACAAAAAAAAAAAAAAAGCCCAGTCTCGATGGTTGCAGCTGGGTAGCTGCTCGCCTACTTCTGCTTCACCCCGGGACGTGCCGCAGGGCCTTCCTCTTGCGCCCGCAGTCGTGCCCAGGAAGGGCGGTGGGACGAGGCGACAGCAGCGAGCCTTGTAGGGGCACCACGGGGAGAGCAGCTGCCCGTGCCATGGAGCCATATGAAGCGTGGATCCATGCTGGCTCCCCAGCGAAAGCCCGCTGTGCCGTGCCGAAAGGCTCCGGGGCAGAGGGCGGTGTGCCACCGGCACAGCCCACGGGGCAGCAGGCAGGGCGAGCTGCTGGCTCTGCGCAGGTGGGGCAGTTGGCGGGAGGCCGGGGTGGGATGGTGGCGTGGCCGCAGGCAGGGATCCGAGGAGGGGTGTCCCTGCCAGGGCCGGTAAACGGAGATGCGCCCGGATCTCTCAGCCAAGCCCAGGCGTCTGGCCAAGGGCTGGAGCATGGGCGCCGAGGGGCTCTGGGGAGGCAGGAGCGGTCAGCTAGAGGTGTCGTAGGGAGGAGGAGGTGGCTGCACCAGGTGGGCTCGTGGTCGCCACAGTCAAAGGGGCAGGGGCTGCCGGGAGCACCTGCGTGGTGCCAAACCCCTGGGAGCCGGGCAAGCTGCTGACTCCGCCAAGGGGAAGGTGGGTCGTGACCAAGGGGTGATGGGGGGAGCGGCACCTGGTGGGCTTAGCACCGTGGCCTGTTATCCCTTGTAGCAGCCAAGGGGAGCGTGTGCTCAGGCTCCTGGCCCAGGGAGCCACCAGCAGGTTTGGCAGCATCCCGGGGGGGTCCTCCTGCCAAGTGCCGTGCGGAAGCAGAAACGATCCTGGATGATGCTCCAGGGGGCTGTTAGCGGTTCACCGGCAGCTTCCCGTGGCCTGGCAAGCCGCCCGAGACCGTCGGTGCCCAGGTCCTTGCTGTTCCTTCCTGGCTCCCCTGCCTGCGCCTGCCGCCTCGCTCCCCGGCCAGCGTGGGCACCGGGTGTTGGGCGCACGCAGAGATGCCGGTGCTGGGGTGCCCGGTGCGGGGGGCTGCGTGCGTTCTGAGCCCCACGGTGATTTGACAGGACCGTGCCTTCATCCTGCAGGTACGACGCGGGGAAAGATGGCTTCATTGACCTGATGGAGCTAAAGCTGATGATGGAGAAGCTGGGGGCACCACAGACGCACCTGGGCCTGAAGAACATGATCAAGGAAGTGGACGAAGACCTGGACAGCAAGCTTAGCTTTCGGGAGGTGAGGGGCTGGGGGGCCTCCACACCGGCAGGGAGGTGTCCCCGGCTGCTGCTCGGCTCAGTGCTGGGCTTAGGGTGGTGGTAAGGAGGTGAGCAGGGAGTTGTGGTGGCTTTGCGGTCTCGGGGGAGCTGACGCCAACGTCTCCCCTCACAGTTCCTGCTGATTTTCCGCAAGGCGGCAGCGGGCGAGCTGCAGGAGGACAGCGGGCTGCACGCCCTGGCCCGGCTCTCCGAGATCGACGTCTCCACGGAGGGGGTGAAAGGCGCCAAGAGCTTCTTCGAGGCCAAGGTGAGGCAAGTGCTGGGGCACGAGAGGTCCCGACGCAGGATGGTGATGCACGAGGGTGCTTTGGTGCCGGCTCGCTGGGGATGATGGGTGGGCAGGAGGTGGAGATGTTGGGGTGGGCAGCAGAGCTTGGTGGGGGTCTCGGGGGACCTAGCCAGACGTGCCGCTGTCTGCAGGTGCAAGCCATCCATGATGCCAGCCGCTTCGAGGAGGAGATCAAGGCGGAGCAGGAGGAGAAGAAGAAGCAGGCGGAGGAGCTGAAGCAGAGGAAGGCGGCGTTCAAGGAGTTGCAGTCCACCTTCAAGCAGTGACGGGGCACTGGCGCGGGGCCGGGCAGGACTGGTCTGCGATGCCCGAGCCGTGCGCTGCCTGTGACTCCCCGAAGGCCGGGCTGCCAGTGGGCTCCTGGCCCGGGCTCGGCACAGCGCCCGCCTTGCTGGCAGAGCCCGGTTGGCCCTGGCTCCCCCCCCACCTTGCTGTGGTGTCTGTAGGTGTTGTTCATGCCCCGCTGCGTCCCCAGCATGTCCCCCTGGCCGAGCTGCTCCTTCCCCGAGGGGCAGCGCCACGGGCAGCAGCAGCGCCCTGTCCCCTGCCCACAGCCGTGCCAGGGGTTGCTGCTGCCGAGTCCCAGGGGAGCCGTGCCCGGGACGCCTGTCCTCCGGGGAGCACCTGTCCCCGGGCTGTCGTGTGTTGTGCATGCGCTGTGAGGTTTGCAGGACGGGGACTTGCCCGGGCGGCTGCGGCAGGTGTCGCGGTGGCCACGCCAGCTCGGTGCCCGTCGGCATTGCCGCGTGTGGCTGCCTCACCGCTGCACGCCGTGATGCCCGTGTCGAAAGCCGGGCGTGCTGCGGGTGAGCGTGGCGAGGGCCAAGTGCTGGCAGAGGGGCTCTGTGTGTGTGTGTGTGTGTGTGTGTCTGTGTAGAATGAAAGACAATTCGTGTGATTGAATGAGATAATGATTTATCTCTTGGTAGCAAACTTTATTTTTCAGATCATACTGATGGTACTCAGTATATTGTTGAATGTGCTGAGAGCATAATTACAGGAAGACACGTCCATCATCACTATCATCACTACATTTGTGTGTGTGTGTGTGTGTGTGCGCGCGTATGCCCAGGGTCCGTGTGCGCAGTGCTCGGGGGTGGGAGCCCCCCCCCCACTGGTGTGCAGCCCCCAAGGGGCCAAGCAGCGCTGCACCCACCTGCCTGTGTCTCTCTTTATTTTGGTATAAGACGCACGGAAAGGCAGCTGCTGGCTCGCGAAGCTGTACTATGTTTTTTCGTGTTGTATTCAGCCCAGGAGGGCGAGTGTTGTAGCCACGAGCGGTTCCCGTCGGTCGCTTGAGGCTCCCGTGTTTGTGGGTGCTGTGAAGAGGCACGTCTGTCCCGCAGTGTTCCCCGTGCCGCAGTAAGCGGGGGCGTGTGTTTTGTTTTTTTATTTTAATCCCAAATAAATATTATATTTCGTAAGCGCGCTGGGTGCCTGTGCAGGGGGCCGAGGTGCAGCCGTGGTTCGGTCGTGTCTGCGGCGGGGGCTCGGG